TAGAGTTTCCTGTGCTATACAGTAGGCGCTCATTAGTTATCTATTTTATACATAGTAGTATATATATATGCCAATCCCAATCTCCCAATCCATTCCACCTCCCTTTCCCCCGCTTTGGTATCCATAAACTTGTTCTCTACATCTCCAGTTCTGCTTTGCAAATAAGTTCATCTGTATCAAGTTTCTAGATTCCACATATAAGCAATATTATACATCTGCTTTTCTCTGACTTACTTCACTCTGAGTGACAGACTCTAGGTCCGTCCACGTCTCTGAAAATGACCCAATGTCATTCCTTTCCTTGCCTGAAGAATCCCAGGGACAGAGGAGCCTGGTGGGCTGCTGTCTGTGGGGTCGCACAGAGTCGGACACGACGGAAGCGACTTAGCAGCAATAGCAGCAGCATTCCTTTTCAAGGCTGAGGAATGTTTGTGGCAACCCTATGTACAATATAGCCAGGACATGGAATCAGCCTGAATGCCCACCAACAGAGGGATGGATGAAGAAGATGTGGTACATGTATACAAGGGTCCTTGGATTTATTACCGTTTGCTTTGCCGCCCTGCGGGTCTGCACAGTCCTCCAGGGTTCTTGGGTCCCTGGGTTAGAAACACCGGCTGAGGTGGACCTGACCCTACACGTCCGGGCTCACATCTGCTAGGAAACCAGCTGATGGACTTTTCTGCAGAGGAGAGTCCTACCTCCACAGAGCTCAACTAAATGTTCATCCATGGAAACAGATGGAATTAGTAATGAATGTCTGAGCCAATGTTTTAGGCCAAAATTATGCTTTCAACACATTTCAAAGTTGTCATTTCTTGATTTGTTCTCTAGTAACATCAATAAATCCCCTGTCCTTAGTACAATGCAAGGCTAGCACAAAGGTGAGGCGAGGGAGGCACTCACTGCGGGCGCAAAATTTAAAAGAGAACTTAAATAACTCAGTAATTAAATAATATTTTAAATACAACATTTAAAAAATATAGAATCAGCCAACTGAAGCCTACAGGCTACCTATCTATTTCTGAACACAGAATTTTACCGGAAAAAGAACTAGGATTAGGTCGAAGTATGGCAGTCATGCAGGTTTTAGTTGGATTTTGTTTTTAGTCTTTAAAATGTTGATATTTTGTTCATTAAGGATTTTTTTGCACTGTTTTTTACTTTTTCAAGTAATTTCAAAATAATTTTGGCTTTTAATTTTTTTAATAAAAATATTTTTGAGGCCTAATTTTTCAAGATCATTATTTTTCTTAGACAACCATTATATCTTGATATAGAGCACAAATGTTTTATATATATTTCCCAATTTATCACAGAGAATGTAAAAAGATGTATTTAAGAATCCAGATTTAATAAAATTAATCTTTACCACTTTGCCAAGGATATTAATGAAATTACGTTTATCTTTTACTATATGTACACAGTTGCCAAAAGTTTATTTGCCATTACTTTTACACTACTAATGCAAATGTCAACATAATAAAAAAGGCAAAAAGCATCTTAGACTTCTTATGAAAATACTTTTGGTCCCACACATCCCTTGACAGGGTCTTAGGAAAACCCAGAAATCTATAGATCACACTTTGAAAATTGCTGCCATAAAGAATAAGGTTTTAATGATTTAAAGGTTAAAACCATTAAAGGTCAAAACCATTATCCATAACGAGCTAAGATCCTCAGTCAGATGGCGGCAACAAAATTATGACTAACTCCAAAGTTAGCGTTGCAGAAACAAGCGGTGAAGAGTCAAAGCAAATTGATCCATCTGTCGTATAAACAGCTCTGAGCAATTAGGAAATCTTCAAAGCTCAAGGTATGGGCAAGATGTGAAAGAATCTGAATGCTCTGAAAATAATCAGTAATCAAGCCGGCAGGGCCATTTTAGGGCAACGGAGCGGAGGAAACCTGCTCCCCCTTCATTTCTCACCTCAGTTGTCTCCTGGGAATGAGGCAGCAAAGGAAACTATCTCAGTAGCAGGAAGATCGAGGCAAATATACCACACAGAGCACCTAGACTGTTCAAAGGTCCTGGGGCCAGTCTGCCTGGTGGGAAACCTCTCTCTTGCCACTTCCTAGCATCTAACTGTGAGCATATTCCCAAACCACTATCTGTCCCAGTCTCCTCACGGGTACTACGAATATAATATTAAATACCTTCCTCCTGTGACTCTTGTAAAGAGCTCATGAGATGATGTAGTACAGCTCTGAGCACAGTGCCCGAGAGAGTAAATATTTAGTAAATGTAACATGAAAAACAAACCTACTGGGACTTGCCTGGCAGTCCAGTGGCTGGGACTTCGCCTTCCAATGCAGGGGGTTTGGGTGTGAGCCCTGGGTGGGGGGCTAAGATCCCATAGGCCTCATGGCCCAAAAAAGCAAACATAATAAAAACAGAAGCAATATTGTAACAAACTCAGCAGAGACTTTTTAAATGGTCTACATCAAAAAACAAACAAACAAAAAAACCCTTCTGTATCAATTCATTACCCTGTGTTCAGTGACTTTTCCCGGACCGGACCACACAAATGCTTAGCTCACTGTCTTACTGGTGTTAGGTGTTCAGTAAAGGTTAAATCCTCCCTCTAGCCAGACCGGGAAGCCTGTCTGGACCTGTCATTTCATCCACGCTGCTCTGAGTGTCATGGGTTTTTCACCAACAATTCACTGAGAAAAATGATGCTTAAATACCAGAAAATATATCAATGTGCAAATCGTCATGTAGAAATGAAAATGTTATATGATAGAATCATGCTTGATATTTGCTTAAAGTTGTGTTTAATGATGTTGAAAACCCATGTGAAAAACAAAGGGATTGTTTTAAAAAATCCAAGCTAGCAAACCATTTAATCCGAGAGAAAAACATCTCTTTTTCTAGGCTTCTGTGGCAGACAAAATGTTTGCTCCCGCACAAACATGTCTACGTCCTAATCCTCAGAACCTGTTACAAAATTGTCTTACGTGGCAAGAGCCTTTGTAGAAGTGATTAGGTTAAAAAACCTGGAATGGGGAAATTATCCTGGATTATCCTGGTGGGCCCAACATCATCACAAGGGCCCTTAGAAACAGGAGAGGAAGGCAGCAGTCAGCAGTCAGCCAGGGGACGACCTGACGGCAGAAGAAAGGCACAGAGAGAAGCCACACGCTGCGTCTGGAGACTGAGGGAGCGGCCCCGCGCCAGAAACACGGGCAGCCTCCAGAAGCTGGGGAGGGCAGGGGAGCAGAGGCTTCCCCAGGGCCTGCTAACAGGAACGCAGATCGGCAGCTTGACTGCAGCTCGGTGACACCCACGTCAGACTTCTGCACGACAGAATTACAAGATGATCAAGCGGTGGGGGCTACTGAGGATAAAGTAGGTAACCAACGAGAACTCCACCCCGTGCTCCGCGGTCAGTCAGCTCAGTCGGGTTTGACCGTTTTGCGGCCCCATGGACGGCAGCCCGCCAGGCTCCTCTGTCCGCGGGATTCTCCAGGCAAGAATACTGCCAGTCCCTCCTCCAGGGGGTCTCCCCGACCCAGGGATCGAACCCATGTCTCCTGCACGGCAGGCAGATTCCTCACCGTCTGAGCCACAGGGAAGCCCATACCTGGTGCTTCCAGAGCACGGGGCTGCATGCTTGGCGACCTGTGGGGACCTAAACGGGAAGGGAATTAAAAAAGAGGGGGTGTGTGTATACGTGTGGCTGACTCACTCTGCATACAGCAGAGCCTGACACAGCAGTATGGAGCAGCCATGCTCCAGTATGTTTTTTTTTAATGTGGTACATATATGCAATGGAATACGACTCAGCTGTAAAAAAGGATGAACCGGTGCCACTTCCAGCAACATGGATGCAACTGGGGATGATCACAAAACTCCACCCCGTGCTCCGCGGTCAGTCAGCTCAGTCGGGTTTGACCGTTTTGCGACCCCATGGACGGCAGCCCGCCAGGCTCCTCTGTCCGCGGGATTCTCCAGGCAAGAATACTGCCAGTCCCTCCTCCAGGGGATCTCCCCGACCCAGGGATCGAACTCATGTCTCCTGCACGGCAGGCAGATTCCTCACCGTCTGAGCCACAGGGAAGCCCACACCTGGTGCTTTCAGAGCACGGGGCTGCATGCTTGGCGACCTGTGGGGACCTAAACGGGAAGGGAATTAAACAAGAAGGGGTGTGTGTATACGTGTGGCTGACTCACTCTGCATACAGCAGAGCCTGACACAGCAGTATGGAGCAGCCATGCTCCAGTATGTTTTTTTTAATGTGGTACATATATGCAATGGAATACGACTCAGCTGTAAAAAAGGATGAACCGGTGCCACTTCCAGCAACATGGATGCAACTGGGGATGATCACACCAAGCAAGACGAGTCACAAGGAAAGACAAGCACCATAGGCTATCACTCTTACGTGGAATCACCATGGGCAAGCTTCAGTGCCCAAGAAAATAAGTAGCCAGGTCACCAGGGTGGGAACTAACCAGGCCCCTGGCTTCACCCAGCTTCCCAGTGCAGCTTCTGGCCGTGCCAAGGCCACAGAGTCAGAGACTTGACCACTCACGACAGTCCCCACCCCTGAAGATCTGGATTCTTAAGGTCTGAGGTACAAGAACATCCACATGTAACCGGCGACTCTGATAGAGATGGTTAGCCGTCCACACTTTTACAGACATCCGTTTTACCCAGAGGGAGCTTACAAGTTAGGCGCTGAGTAAATATAATTCCATCTGTAATAGATGAATCCATATGCATCCTTCCAAGGAGAAGTGAACAGCCAGGGACAAAGGTAAAAGGCTAGCAATGGCCCAGAACACACAGATCCTTCCACAGGCTTCTGTTAAGAAACACGAGGTGCAGAGTTAAGCCCGAGGAGACCTCCGCCTGCTGTCTCCTAGGCAGCCAGGCTCAGGGCCCTGGAGCAGACAGCAGAATCCCGGCAGCCCTGCAAACCTCTCTTGGGAAAGCATCCCTGGGAAGCACAGACCTCCGTCCCAAGCCTCCCCAGCCCCTCACCTGGCCTACCTGTCCCCACTGCTTCTTTAGGAGGTGGTGATGAGCTGGCCCAGGGCGCATCATCTTCAAACTGAACCCAGCTGCTGATGGCCGAGACCAGATCAGGCGGGCGCTGCTCGGGGCTCCCAGGAGGCGAGGCCGCTTCAGAGATGAGGCCCAGCTTTTCAGAAGAGTCATCGTGCTCTGAGTGGGAAAGGCCCTGAGAGCCTCCATCCACGACATGGTGCTCCCCAGAAGAGCTCTCGGACTGGTCTGAGGAAGAGGAGGCTCCGGGGACATGCTCTTTGGGGCCCCCTGAAACAGACACCAGAAACTGCCATCAGCTCAGAGGTGGAAGGTCACTCTTCAGGACTGTCTCGTGGAGGAAGAAAACAGAAAAGGCAACGGGTGATCAAAGGACTCACCATGACAGGGTGTGAGAGGAAAGAGACAGCCATGCCCACTGCTTCTATGCTAAAGAAGTGTTTTCCCAAAAATGAATGAAAACTATACCCTAGGGCGTGGTGCTGGAGAAAACTCTTGAGAGTCCCTTGGATGGCAAGCAGACAAACCAGTCCATCCTAAAGGAAATCAACCCTGAATATTCATTGGAAGGACTGATGCTGAAGCTCCAATACTTTGGCCACCTCATGCGAAGAACTGACGCATTGGAAAAGTCCCTGATGCTGGGAAAGATCGAAGGCGGGAGGAGAAGGGGACGACAGAGGATGAGATGATTGGATGGCATCACTGACTCTATGGAGATGAATTTGAGTAAGCTCTGGGAAAGGACAGGGAAGCCTGGCATGCTGCAGTCCATGGGGCAGCAGAGTCAGACATGACTTAGTGACTAACAACAACAAAGGCTGTCCCCGGCAGTCTCCATGCAGGCTGAGACTGGGAGTCTGGTCTGGTTCACTATTCTTATCCTACCATCTACTTCAGTGCTTGGGGGGTCACACACAAAAAATTGTTGCGAAGGCCAAGCAAGAAATAGAACTAGGTCAAATTGAAAAGCAAAAGGCAATAGGGATTGGTGGAGACTGTGGCTCAACAGGCGACCTTCTGTCTGGGCTCAAAACACCCCAATTCAAAGTGTGTACAATCCAGAGGACACACATCTGCGGGCCACCACAACCAAACTCTGCACGAATGACCAGCTCAACGTGGCACAGAGACCCTTCCTCTAGCTTTGTTTCACTTTATTGGTCCTGGAACAGTTGACAGCCTTCGAATATTTGTCTTTAAATAACAGAATTGACCCCAATTGTGGTGGTGATTACACAATCTATACATGTGTTAAAATTCATCAACTGTAGACCAAAAATGATCAAGTTTACTGTATGAAAGCTTCTAAAAAGTAAAGGTACTCATATGAAACTCCTCTCTCCCATCACTAGCCAAACAAACTGGTCCACTTGAATGTAATCAAAGCCTTTAGACAAGAGCTGTCCCAAAGAAATAAAAGGTGGGCCACATATGTAACTTTAAATTTTCCAGTAGCCACATTTAAAAAATTAAAAAGAAACAGGTGAAACTATTCTTAATAATGTATTTCAACTCAATCTGTTGAAAATGTATAATTCCAACACATGATAAAAAATTGATAAAGAAACATTTATCTTTAACTAGGTCCTCGAAATTCAGTGTGGCTATTTCACATTTCTTGAAGTGTTAGTCACTCAGTTGTGTCTAACTCTTGTGACCTCATGGACTGTAGCCTGCCAGGCTCCTCTGTCCATGGGATTTCCCAGGTAAGAATACTGGAGTGGGCTGCCATTTCCTTCTCCAGGGGCTCTTCCCGACCCAGCGATCAAATCCCGATCTCCTGCATTGCAGGCAGATTCTTTACCATCTGAGCCACCAGGGAAGCCCAGTTTATAGGCGTCTCAATTCAGACTGGCCACGTTTCAAGGACTCCATAGTCACATAGCTATAAAGCTTACAGCATGCCCGTAAACTCCACTTTCCAGGTGCTGTAAATGAAGCTGGGATGATTCAGGAGGCAGCCGCAGGGGCCACGGAAGAAAAGCAGCTGATATGGCTCTGTAAAAAGCTCCTGCATCCTACCGTAACCTTCACCCTTGAGCACAGTCCCACAGACGTCAACCTAGCCACCTGCACCATGATCACGAGTGACAACTACTGAGTTCTCTGCATGTGCCCGTCCCGGTTGTAAGCGTTTTTTATATGTTAATCATTTAATCCTCACTGCCACCCTGAAGTCGGCACTGTGATTATCCACATTGCTCAGATGGACTACCACCCAGAGAGGTAAACAAATCATCCGCCCAATTATCCACATCCATGATGGAGCCAGGATTTCAGCCCNGTCGGCACTGTGATTATCCACATTGCTCAGATGGACTACCACCCAGAGAGGTAAACAAATCATCCGCCCAATTATCCACATCCATGATGGAGCCAGGATTTCAGCCCAAGGGATCTGGCTCGAGTGCCTGTCAGTCTTTTTGACAACTGTCCTTTGAAAACTGAGACAAGCCAAATGGCTGTTGGGAGTAATAACCAAAAAGACTGAGTGTAAAGTACTTGGTAAATAGGAAGTTTATATTCAGGGATTCCCTGACAGCTCAGTTGGTAAAGAATCAGCTTGTAATGCAGGAGACCCTGGTTCGATTCCTGGGTCAGGAAGATCCCCTGGAAAAAGGATAGGCTACCCACTCCAGTATTCTTGGGCTTCCCTTGTGCCTCAGCTAGTAAAGAATCAGCCCGCAATGCAGGACACCTGGGTTCGATCCCTGGGTTGGGAAGGTCCCCTGGAGAAGGGAAAGGCTACTCACTCCAGTATTCTGGCCTGGAGGATTCTATGGACTGTATATTCCACAGACTTGGTAAATATGAAGTTTATGTTCATTGAAAGAAAGCAATGATAAGGAAGTGAAGTGATAAGTGAAGTGAAATGAAGGGAAGTGATAAACTGACTTTTTCCTTGTCAATATCCTACTGAGGACTTCCTGGTGGCCCAATGGATAAGACTCTGCCTGTCAATGCAGAGGACACAGGTTTGATCCCCGGTCNGCCCTCAGTCTTTCCCAGCATCAGACAGATTTACAAATAATCACACACATTTTAGCAAACAGATTTTCAAATGTTCCCACTTACTATACTTTGGAAATAATTTTCCTCTATAATATAATACCACTATTGTAAAACTAATATCAACATTTTTCAAAGAGCTTTCACTTTCCTTTACCAGATGGCAAAAGAAAAGCACGTTCTTTCCTATTAAATCAGCGTGGTTTCTTGCCTTAGGCAGGTAGCTCTTTGCAAGCCTGATTTAAACCTTTGGCAGAAACCCAACCATCTCCAGATGGTATCTCCGAGCACAATTTACCAGTCAAGAAAAACAGAAATGGATTTATCTTGTTCATTTGGAGTAAGGGGGGGGCAGGGCATATTTGCTGTAGTGGAAAATGTGAGTTAAAAGAAACACAATTGCATTCTAGGTCGATTTGAATTAGCATGTAAAAGGGTAGCCTTTACTCAGGTTGCAATTATGTTCCATGGAAGAATACTTACTAGAAGTCTAATATTGTGTGTACTATTAATGCTTTCTTTTTACAACTGGAACTTTTTTTTAATTTGGAGCGTAATTGCTTTACAACGCTGTGTTGGTTTCTGCCAAACAACAGTGTGAATAAGTACACACACGTCTCCATGAGCCTCCCTCCCACCACCCCCATCCCACCCCTCGAGGCTGTCACAGAGCGCTGTGCGTTCAGCTCCGCGTTATACGGGCAACTTCCCACCAGCCACCTACTCTACACCCGGGAATGTCTATGTTTCCATGCTACTCCCTCGATTCGTCCCCCCCTCTCCTCCCTCCCTGTGTCCACAGTCTGTTCTCTCGTCTGCGTCTCTACTCCTGCCCTGCAAATAGGTTCATCTGCACCGTTTTTGTAGATTCCATATATAAGCATTTATATATGACATTTGTTTTTATCTTTCTGACTTATTTCACTCTGTATTATAGGCTCTAGGTTTATCCACCTCACTAGAACTGACTCAAGTTGGTTTCTTTTTATGGCTGAATGATATTTCAGGGTATGTGTGTACTCCATCTTTATCCATTCATCTGTCGATGGACATCTAGGCTGCCTTCATGTACTGGCTGCTGTGAGTAGTGCTGCAATGGACACTGGAATACATGTGTCTTTTCGAATTATGGTTTCCTCAGGGTATATGCCCAGTAGTGGGATTGCTGGGACACATGGTGGTTTTATTCCTATTTTTTAAGGAATCTCCATAATGTTTTCCATAGTGGCTGTGTCAATTTACATTCCCACTAATAGTGCAAGAGGGAATCTAACTCTTGATCTTGGAATGAATTAGTAAAGTCTGAAAATGCAAAATTAATGCAATTAATTCCCAGAATTAATAAAAAATTAATGTTTCCCCATAAGAGCTACTATCCACTTTGAACAGTATCAGTTGCTATTAACTGGATACTCAATATCCATTTTAGTCTAGAACAATTTAATTCACACCCTTCTAACTGGTGCACGATAAGAAAATGTTGAAATTTTACTACAGGTTATTACCTGCAGTAAACATTCTATGCTGAGGATAACCAGAATAGAAACATTTAATAGCTTTGTTATTTTGGTAATTACAACAATTAATTTTGCTGCATGATACTTCCTAAAATTAAATAATGTTCCTTATAGAATCTATAGTTTTCAGAAACCTATTTTCATACCATTCTTTGATTCAATAGCCCTTGTAGTTGGGTAAGACAGGTATTACCATAATTCTTTCACAGATGAAGAAATTTGGGCTGAGGGAAGTTAAGTGACTTATCCAAAGCTTCTGTTGTTTTGAGGCTTTTGTATGGTACACTAAGATTCCTAAGATGTTTCCTCCAGGTTTTTAAGTGGAAGAATTCACATATCCTAGGATAGTGAAAAATGGATTCTTCTTATTCCACTGTGAGAGACAACCAAAAATGAATCAAGTAGAGGTCATCACAAGCAAGGGTGTTAGATGCACCAGGCTAGGAAGTGAAGGATGCAACACTTGAACCCAGGTCTTCTGATGCCAAAACACTCTAATCTTTGGGTCACAGCCACAAAGAAACACACTGAAGAATATATATAGAGAGAGACTATCCCCCAACTGAAGCACTCTACAGACATCAGTTCTAATAGAACTATAATGAAATGATCGGTGAAACTCCTCACTGGACATCTGCGAGGGAATCCAAGCTGTGCAGAGAATTGAAAGTTCTCTTCCAAGTTCCTCTCCTAAGATCCTTACAAGTCATGGGACCAGATATGTGCAAACAGCCTAGAGAA